CGCCCCAAACATTGTTACCTGAAATGTACCATACTTCTTTCTCTGCTGGGGTCCTTTGAGAAAATCAGTTACATTTAGATACATCTCCTGTTACAATGCAGGACGTGTCCTTGCTCCTGGCAGGGCCCCTCTCTCACTTGGCTCTGGACCTCACCATTCTTACTTGCTCAAGGACTTCATTCCCTCAATATTTTGTTTTCTCTCTGAGAGGAAGTCGTCAACGGTACCCACCACTGAAAGTAGAAAACAGAGGGCTGTTGTCCTCAATTTCATAACCTAGTTTCTCTGTTCCCTCCGTAGCAGAACTTGCTACCTGTAACCACCTCACCTCCCGCTTTCCTCAACTTATTCCAGGGGCTTCCAATCCAGTGTGCCTTCCTCCCACATCCCAATATGCTGTTGTCAAAGCAACAACCATGATGCCATTTCCAGTGGCTTCTTCCCCATCTTTATTGCCCTCCACCTCTCCGCAACAGTCAGTCGACAGCTCCTCCCTTCTCAACACCCTCTGGTCCCTTGGCTCTTCAACATGAACCCCCACCAGCCTTCCTTCTTCAGTTGGTCTTCCTTCTCAGGCTCTTGCTAGTTCCTTCTCTCCCTTATAACTTAAGTGTTAGCATGCCTCGGGGCTGGACACTGGACCCTCTTCTCTCTTTCGCCCTCTAGGGTAGGCTGAATAATGTCCTCAAAGATTTTGTGTCCTAATCCCTGAACCTGTGTTGCCTTGTATGGCAAAAAGGACTTTGCAGGTATGAATAAGTTAAGGATTCTGAGACAGACTACCTAGATTGGCCATAAATAAAGTCACAGTGTCCTTCTAAAAGGGAAGCAGAGGGAGATTTGACTATAGAAGAAGGCAATGTGACAACTGGAGCAGGACACTATGCTGCTGGCATTGGAGACAGAGGAAGGGGCCACAAACCAACGAATGCTGCTCTAAAACCGGGGAAAGGCAAGGGAACACATTCTCCCCCAGAGCCTCCAGAGGGATCTTGGCCCTGCTGGCACCTTTTGTTCCAGTGAGCATGATTCTGGATTTAAGAGCTCCAGAACTCTTAGAGACTAAATGTGAGCCATCAAGTTGGTGGCAATTTGTTATAGCCTTCTCCATACCTTATTTTATGTATCTTCATGAATCTGAGAACCATCTTTATGCTAGAAAATTAAAAATGTGTTTGGGCTGCAGGCCACAAATCCTGCTCAAGCAGGATCACTGCGGCAGTCTCCTAACCAGCCTCTCCACTGTCACTCTTGTCCCTTCCAACCGCTCCAACAGCTGCAGTGGTGTTCTTCCAGATCTGATCATGTCACTTCCCTGGGGAATACCCTTTGGTGTCTTTCCATTTCACTTTTAATTATATCCAAACTCCTTACCTTGGTCTAAGGCCCAGCCTGATTCGGCCCGTGCCCACCTCTCCAACTTCATCTCCAACTCTTCCCTGATCTTTTATCAGGTCTTGTGCCCTGCTAGTTCTTTCCTGCCTCAGGACCTTTGCACAGGTTGCTTTCTATGCCTGGAATACTCTTCCATTCCCCTCCCTCTCTTTCCTAGCTCATCTGTGAGCTCCCCTGAGTGCCCTCTCTAAAGCAGATCTCTCCCCTTGTTATTTCCTATCTCCACTGTTTTCCACTGGAGCAGGGGTGGGGGCAGGGCAGGCGGGGAAGAAGATGTGTCATTCAATCCCAAAATGTACCTTACACTGAGAAACAAAGCAATGTCATCAAAACTAAGGAGAGTCTAAGAAACCGTCACAGCTAAGAGGAGCTAAGGAGACAAAGAAACATAATGTGGTATCCTAGATGGGATCCTACAACAGAAAAAGGATCCTAGGTAAACATTAAGGAGATACGAATAAACTAGATTTTCACTAATATTAACACATCATACTAATATGTTCACGGGAGGGGGAAATGGATGCAGGAAGGAGTGGGGGTAGATGGGAACTCCCTGTACCATCTGTTCAATTTTTCTGTAAATCTAACGCTATTCTACAAATTAAAGTCTATTTTTTTTATTGAAAAGCAGCGTTACACACACTCGTGTGACACCTTAAACAGTAAATTGATAAATGGTTAAACGAATACTGTTAAATTGTAATTGTGATTATCACTAGAAAGGAAAAATAGGGGTGCCTCGGTAGCTCAGTCGGTTAAGCGTCCGACTTCGGCTCACGTCATGATCTCATGGTTCGTGAGTTTGAGCTCTGCCTTGGGCTGTGTGCTGACTGCTCGGAGCCTGGAGCCTGCTTTGGATTCTGTGTCTCCCTCTCTCTCTCTGCCCCTCCCTTGCTCGTGCTCTTTCTCTCAAAAATAAATAAAACATTTAAAACAAAGAAGGAAAAACAGAGGGCACAAATAACAGAATATTCCCATAGCATCCATCAATCGCCAGGCACTGTTCTTGGCACTTTACATGTGTTAACGCATTTGATTCTCAGCACAATCCAAAGAGGCGTAACACTTTACAGATGAGAAAACGGAGGCACAGGAGGATGGACTAACTTTCCAAGGCCCACAGCTAGCTACCAGTAGTGCCAGCATAACAAGAATATACAACAAAGGGCCTAATTCAGTTTAATTTACTCAGGGAAGACTTTCCTAAGGCAATGACATGCAGCTGAGGTGAGGAGGGTGCGTAAGGCCAAGCAAAGAGGCTACAATGGCAGTGTCTGGGGCAGGGAAAGGCTTGGAGGAGGCCAGGGGCTTGGCCAACTTGGAAAACTTTAGGGGAAAGTGTGAAGTTTGGTGAGGCAGGCAATGGCCATGCTAAGAAACAGGGATTTTATCCTAAACCCATTGTACACTTTAAGCAGGGGGGTGGGGGGACGTGGTCAGATTGGGTCTTTTAAAAGTTCCCTCTGGCAGCTGTGGGAGCAAAGTGGCTCCCACACCTAGGGGATATACTCCTGTATGTGGTAAGGAGATAGGATGGTGGCCTGGATTCCAGTGTTGGAAATGCAGGTGGAGAAAACCCATCAGATTTTCTATATTTAGGAGAGAAGCGCCCGGTGAATTCGGAAATTGGTTATGGCAGCTGGAGAAACGGAAACGTGAGAGGTGGTGCTCGAGGTTTCTGGCTCGGTGGTAGGGGTGGATGGTGGGGCATTCGGCCAGATGGGGAAGACGGGAGTTCCGGTTGAGAGGAAGGGGGGGTGGGCTGCAGTCCTGGCCGTGAGGAGTCTGAGGTCCTGTGAGCCATCCAAGTGCAGAGTTGCGCAAACTGTTGGATGAGCGCTCAGAGGACGGGCCAGGGTGGAGATCTGCTGGAGGGACCTGAGGGCACACGGAGGAGGCCTGCACGGACCTGCCCAGGAACAAAGGGCAGAGAAGGCAGCCCAGGCTAGCCCAGCCCAGCCCGAGGAGCCCTCTCGCTTAAAGGTCCTGTCAGCTCCTAATGTTGCCCGCTAGAGCATCTCCTCGTGTCTACTTCTGCTCCTGCTTACTTCCCGTAAGCGGTTCAGGAGCAGCCGTCCCCAGCCCCACACCCGTTCATTTGCGGACAGCCCGAAGCTGGCTCCCATCCCGAGGCTCTGACTGGGAAGGCTGGAGGCAAAGCGCGGACCGGGCAGCAATAAGGGAGGGGGGGGGGGGGGGGGGGGGGGGCTCCGGCTCACCACGGGCCTCGCGCCTCCCCTCGCGCCCAGCTCCTGGAAGGGTCCAGAGTCCCCTCTTCTCTACACCTCTTATGGAAGCCGTTGCTCTTTGAAGCCTTTGCGGCTCCTTTTAACCCGATTCCACCGTGTAGGAGTGTTGCGAGTGGGGCGTCAACGGGGACCATCCTGTCTCCAGGGTGCGGGGTCGCTTTCAGAAATGATTTCAAAACTCCCGGTCCGGGAAGAGGGGAAGGACGAGGCCGAGAGGGGCCGAGCATTTCCCGAGGTCCCGCCCCGGGGGAAGACCCCTCCGCAGAGGTGCGTCCCGGGGTCGCGCGCCGGCTGCCCGCGTCACCGCGGTTTCCGGCAACCCCACGCCCCCGGCATCTCTAGCTCCCCGGTAGTTCCGGAAGAGC